TGTGTCTGTGTGTCTGTGTCTGTGTCTGTGTCTGTGTCTGTGTCTGTGTCTGTCTTTGTCTCTGTGTTTGTTTTTGTCTTTGTCTTTGTCTGTGTCTTTGTCTCTGTCTTTTTGTTTGTCTGTTTGTCTGTTTGTTTGTTTGTCTGTTTGTCTGTTTGTTTGTTTGTGTGTGCTGCGCGCCGGAGGTGTGTCTCTTTTTGTCTCTGTCTCTCTGTCGGTGTCTTTCTGTGTCTCTGGTCTTTCTGTCTCTGTCTGTGTCTGTGTGTCTGTGTCTGTTTGTGTCTGTGTCTGCGTGTGTCTGTGTCTGTGTCTGTGTCTGTGTCTGTGTCTCTCTGTGTTTCTGTGTCTGTGTGTCTGTGTCTCTCTGTGTTTCTGTGTCTGTGTGTCTGTGTCTGTCTGTTTGTGTCTCTGTCTGTGTCTGTCTGTCCGTGTCTGTGTGTCTGTGTCTGTGTGTCTGTGTGTCTGTGTCTGTGTCTGTGTGTCTGTGTTTGTGTTTGTGTTTGTGTCTGTCTTTGTCTCTGTGTTTGTGTTTGTCTTTGTCTTTGTCTGTGTCTTTGGCTCTGTTTTTTTGTTTGTTTGTTTGTCTGTTTGCTTGTTTGTTTGTTTGGTTTGTTTGTTTGTGTGTTTGTTTGTTTGTTTGTCTGGTTGTTTGGTTGTTTGTCTGTCTGTCTGTCTATTTGTTTGTTTGTTTTGTTTGTATGTTTGTTTGAAGTTGATATTATATAGGTTAGGCTTTATGGATTCTCTAGGATTTATTCTTCTTACCGTCCCCTATTGTCCCGAGACCCCGAGACCCCGAGCCTCCGGATTTTTTTATTTACGACCTTATTCGTATTTTGATTCCCTGAATTTACACCTCGATACTTCGGTATTCCATTTTTAAGATAAACAAATTCGTAATTAACATAAATTTGCTCTAAAATAATTTTAAATGAATTATAAAAAAATTTTAAATAAAATTCTAAATTATAGATTTTTAAATTTAAATTAATCCTAAATTATTATAAATTAATTATAAATTAATCTTAAATTAAGTCTAAATATATTTTAACTTAATTTATAAATAATGAATTTTAAAATTTTAAATTAATCCTAAAATAATCCTAAATTAATTTTATATATATATTAAATTAAATTATAAATTATAAATCTAAATTAATCCTAAATTAATATTATTTTAAATTAACTTTTAATTTAATTTTAAATATATTCTAAATTAACCCTAAAACTTAATTATAGGATTATAACTATTAGGGGGATAAACTTAATTGATTTATAATTATTGATGGGGGTTGGTAATATTGTATTTTTTATAGATATTTGAATAATAATATTTAGGTTAATTTTTTATATATATTATAAACATTATATATAGGAATTGATTGTTTAAGGTTAATAATTTATAATTTTATTTTTTTATTTAAATAATTTATTTTTATTAATTAATTATTTATATATTAATATTTGGTATTTAAGATATTTTATTATTTTTTATATTTATATTTTATTTTTAAATATTTTTTATTTATAAATATATTTTTTGAATATAATTATATATTATTTATTTAAATTAAAATGTTTTTTATTTTACATTTTAATTTTATTATTGTTTTTTTGATGGGTATGGATTAAATTTTGAGGTTTTAATTTAGATAGAATTTGGGATGGTTTTGAATTAAGGTTTTATTTGGGTTTTATTGGGGAGGATTTTATTAGGTGGATTTTAATAAAACACTTTTTAAGGTTTTATTAATTAGGGTTTTATTAGGTTTTATGATGATGGGATGGGTGGGATGGGTATGGGTGTGGATTTCTGAGGGGGGTATGGTATGGGATTTTGTTTATGTTAGGAGGTTTTTGAATAATGAATAATGCCACCTATTATTTTATTTATGATGTGGTTTTTGGCTTTGAGTATTGTTTGAGGTAAGGTTTTACGAGGGTTTTATTAAGGTTTTATTATATTTTTCAAGGATTTTGGATTTATGAAAGGTTTGATGAGGGTTTTGCTAGGGTTTTATTAAATTTAGATGGTTTGAAATAAGATTTTATTAGGGTTTTATTGGGATTATAGGGTGGTTTGAATGAAATAAAATTTTATTATAGTAGGGTTTTAGCAATTTATTCGAGGGTTGGGATGGTTTGGTTTGAGGAAGGTTTTATGAGGATTTGTTATTAGAATTCTATTAGAATTTATTAGGTTTTGCAAGGTAAGGTTTTATTCCATAATAGTTATAGGATAATATTGGAATTCGATTTTATTATTGGGGTCCGCTCGATTATATTGTTTAGGCCCGATCGGCTCCGATTATGTTATCGATTGGGTTCCGTCACTGAAAAAAGAAACGCTTAGTTTTGTTATAGATATAATTTTAATCCATATATTAAGGAAAACCGGCGTTAAGAAGGTTATGCCACGAGATAATCGGGGCCCGATCGAGCTTCGGCCCTGATTACGCTTAATTACGCTGTCGGACCTCAATCGGGTCTCGATTGCATTATCGGACTTCGATCGGTTAATTAAACTAATTGTCTAATTTTGCTATAAATGCAATTGTAATTTATATATTGAGGAAAATTGGCATTAAGCTATAATATGGGTAATTAGGGTTACCACAGCATAATCGAGGCCTAATTATACCGATCGAACTCCGATTACACCGTCGAGAAAGTGTTATTAAAAATGCAGAAGGAATCGTTATGGGGGCTGAATTTTTTTTTGCCAAAAAACATATAAAAAACTAAAAAACACATAACAAATATGCTTAGGTGATATCCCTAATAATATGCGGCACCCCGCAACCCTCGCAGAACCTCGTGGAACCCTCGTGGAACCTTCATGAACCTGGGGAACCCTGATGGAACCTTCGTGGAACCTTACCTCAGGGCCGCCCCAGACCACCCCGGAGCCTATCTGGGCTGAGACCCCAAAGCTGTTAGCTGTTGGGGAAAAAAACACAGCCCATCATCTGCATTTTCTAGTTTAGGGCCATGGATTTGTTGTTTGTTTTTTTAATGCTTTTGCTCATAAACACTAAGAAAACCAAAAAATCACAGTCTATCATCTGTATCTGCTAGTTCAGGGCCATGACTCTGTGTTTTTTGATACTTTTACTCATAAACACTAAGGGAAAAATCACATTGCCCATTATTTGAAGACCATATTTTGTTGATGCTTTCTTGATACAAACTTTCTTGATACAAGACATCAATAATATGTCGAGATGTAGATCAATAGAATATAAATTTCTTCTAAGATATTCTATAGGTAATTCTAGGTAATTGGAAATAATTTATTTCATTTTTTATTTCATTTTCTGTAGGTAATATCTCATCACAAGCAATTGCTTGTGGCTTATATCTACTTCAATTTTTCTGAATGGCTTTATTGTTGTAAGAGCTCTTTAACAACACGAATAGCTGCAGAGAATCTTATTCCAAGGTTCTTATTTCAAAGCTGAACAGCTTTATGCAGAGAATGTTGTTTATATCTGCAGATATCGTTATAGGTGTTCATCTTTGTTATCTTGTGTTTCTTGAGCTCAAGTAACTAGATTGGAGCTGTGTTCCAATTGCTCCAGCTCATTATGCGATAAATATGTTTGTGTTAATTGTTTTTTCTCAAGAGCATAGATAGAGTTCATATATATATTAAATATTCAATATCCAATTGTAAAAAGAGATGAATTTTGCAACTAAAAACTACATAGACCAATGACATCTTACCTTTCTTATGATTTTATATATGTGACAAGCTAATATATATTTAGAATTGCAATACAATAATAATATTTATTTCAAAAATATATCTGCTTACAAATTGCTAACCATACAACTTCCAAAATATGGTATATATATACAATTTGTGTTATAGATTTTTTTAAATATATATCTTCAAAAAAAAATGCTTGTAAACTTGGTATATGTAAACATACCAATAATCCAAAAATAAGCTATAAACACACATTTATTAAATATTTATGTCCAACAATAATATTTATGCAAAATAATTCTCTTTAAATTGCCTTCTATGCAAATTAAAGCTAACTCATTTCCAAATCTAGATATATCTAAGCCTTTATTAAATCGAAAATAAAGCTGTAAAACAAAAATGCACCCAATAATAATTTAAAAGCTCTTCAATCAAAATTATATACATTTAGTAGTTTTTAATATATTTTTTTAAAAAAAAACAATAACAAAAAAAAAAAAAAAAATTAACCCCCTAAAAATCAAATTCCCAAAAATCTAAAAATATCAACCTCCATGCCAACCCATCCTCTAAAAATATCCATCGAATTTATTTTTAAAATATAATAAATAAATATATATTATATATTTTATATTTTTTTACCAAAATATTTTAAAATCTTCCTATAATGTTATTTTATTATATTAAATAAATATATATATATATATTTATGTGTTTTTATATATTTAATTATATATTTATCTAAAACAACAAAACAACATCAAGAAAAATTTTCTAAATAAATTCCGAATAATCCAAATTAAAAATCATATTCTATTTCAAAAAACATTTATATAACATATTATTACATAGATTCCACCAAAATTCCAATAAAATTCCATAAAAATTTCATAAACCATTATAAAATAACACAAATATTTAAAAACCTATTATATATTAATAAAATATATTTTATTCAAAATTATTTTTAAATAATATCTATATATTTTCCTCAACAATTAACAATTTCGGGTTCTCAGCCCAAATAGATTCCGGGAGCGTCCGAAACGGTCCTAAGGTAAAATTCCAAGGAGTTCCAAAAGAATTCGATACATTTCTATGAATATTAAACACCGCATGCCATTAGGGATATCGACAATCATTTTCATAATTAAAAATTAATATTAAAATTATGTAAACACAAATTGTACCACCCCAAAGCCCTCGCAACACCTAATAGAACCCTAAAAAAAACCTAGTGCCTCGTGGGATTTTTTAAATAAAACCTTAATAAGACCTGGAAACCTGATATCCATTAGAACCTTATCTTAAGACCGCCGGCCGGAACCACAAGTGCCATGGGCAGCGGGTCGTGCCCACGCCCAATGTCCCATGCCCTGTGTTGTGAGGTTCTCATTCAACCAGGATCCCTGACTCACTGACCCATGCCCAGGAATTGGAGGGGGGAGAAACAAGGACAGCAACGTGTCACTGTCTCTTTAAACTGGAGCTGCGTCTCTCCAGTCAGTCCCTCAAATGGTCAAACCTTCATCCGAGTGTTGGTGAAAACCTTGTCATCCTTGTCCATCTTCATCCTTTTGCTGCAGAGTCTGTGGTTGAAACCTGGAGGGCCCTGCGAGCTCCAAGCTAACTCGAGCACTGGACGAACCTAGCCTTCCCGGCGCAATTTCCACAGAGGCCAAGATAAGAGGGAACATTGTCCATTCGTGGGTTGTTGGCTGTCTGGAAGGTATCTTTCTGGAGAGGCTTTGCAAAGAAACCTTGACATCAAGCATTTTAGGCGTGCCTGCGAGACAAAACCGTGAGTCATAGCCGAATGTAGCGTTCCCGTCTTTTGCGACGGGGGCTCCCACATTTCGGGTTCAAGCGCAGCCCCACAACAATGCACAGACTTTATAGCCTACTCGGGTGAATTATTTGAGCGCGCTATCCCACCACACCAAGTAAAACGGCCTGATTCAGTTGATCTAAAAAATCCTCTCAATTGGGATCATGACTGGGCTGTCCTCAGATCCCCCGCTAAAAGTTTAACTTTTAGTGGGTCAAATGGGAAACCCCACTAAACGATAAAAAGGCTAAACAGCTAAAGGGATGGCTGGGAGCCACCAAAATAACTCTTCTTTTTTCAGGGGCCCAACCTTAGATCCCGCTCCTGTCTTGCACTCACCCAGAAGCGCGAAGTTGTACACGATGATTAGAAAGGGGTTCACGTTCCTTTGCGCGCCTTGAGGCAGTTCTCCGCCAGCTGCTTGATGTGCAGGGCCGTCTCATGGTTTTTCACGGGGTTGGTCTTGGTCACATACATCATCGTGTTGGAGATGGCCACGGCCAGCGGTGGAAAGTATTTGGCGACTGCCTCTTGCCGCAGCTTCTCGCGCCGCTGATGGTCTGGGTCACTCACATCAAGCTTGAAGGGTCCGGTATGCTCGGGAGGGATGACTTCCATCAGGGGCAAAGTGCCCTTTGGCCCCTCCATGTCAAAGACAAGGATGAATTTGTGCACGAAGCAAGTGACGTTTCCTCGCTCCATGCTGTAACATTTGAGTTCTAGGCCCAAAAAGTGGACAACAACGCACACACACACACACATGTAAAATGGGTGCAAACAATATCCACGTGTCCGGTGATCGACATCTTGCAGGCTTCCAGGCTGTCACTGCTGAAAGGCACCCCTTCCGCATCGAAATGCTTGAGTAGCGCCCTCAGCAGAAAACTCTTACCTGCCCCGGTATCCCCAGAGCAGGCGATGGAGAAGTAGGTCTGCTTGCCGTCGGAGTGATCCTTCAAGGTGGCACATTTTGAAGAAAAAAAACGTGTTTCTGCCCTTTTGACTTTCAAAAACGGGGGCCCCAGGGTACTTCTCTCTTAAAAAAAGAAGAAACCGAATCCTTGAGCCGCTCCAAGACCTCTTGGTTCACCTCTGGCACCATGACTTGCATCAAGGTCTCCGTGTCCGGAGGTGGCATGGCCACCTCCCGGACAACCAGGCGGATCACCTCCGGATGCCTCAGGCGGTGTCGCAAGACTTCCTGCACGAGGTCTGCGCCAATCTCCACGATGCCACGCTGATCCATGTCGGCAATTTGATGTCTGGAAAGTAAGTCAACACCCGTGCCATCAAATTTAACCCGGCTTTACTTGCATTTCAAGCCGTCCTTGTTGCATTGGCTCCCTTTGTGTCACTTGCTGTGCATGAGTGCCATTGGCCCGCCTGCTCAGAGCCAATCAACATACACGCATGCGAGTCCAATGGGCGTGGCCGAGAGACACATCGCTTTAGTCTGAACAGGTCAACAGCCGGCTCGCAGCAAACCGATCTCATGAGGCAAGATAGGAAGCAACTGAAACTGCTTCTCAGATGACGCGTGCTGTTGTTTGGTCGGTGAGATGGGTCGCTCATCTCTCGGATCATTTTTCACAGCTCCACGCGGGCATCCTCCGCTCGCCACCACCAGTTCACCGCCACGTGGCCGTCGCCTTTTGCCAGAGAAGTCACCTCGACGAGGCAACGGCTTTCTCATGGCCCGACGTGGTTGGCTGGCCCCCTGACGTGGTTGGCTTCCTCGAGGTTTTCCTTTCCGATGCCAAAAAAGCTCGTGGTTCGACCGGCTTTCTCGCGGTTCAGCCCCTTCGTGCCACCACCCCGCGGGGTAGAGCAGCTCCCCCGGCTCCAGCTCGAGCTCCGTGGGAACTGGGCCCCAGTCCTGCGCCGAGATGTCGGAATTCCCCAAGAGAACATGGGCCTAGCCTGGGCCTGGTGTGGGTGTCTCGCGGTATGTGTCAAGATAGGGAAAAATAGCATGGGTTTTCCGTTTGGCGTTTTTTGAACCAAACCCAAAAAGCGGCAGCCTGAGGTCCTAACAAAGCACCTGGGATATTCGGTTTTCCGGGTGCTTGTGGGACAGTCAGGGCAAACGCAACCGACTGCAACATGAGCAAACTGTTGTTTCCTCACGGCAGTTTCCCCAAGAGAGACTGGCAGAGCCTGGCTTTTGTGGGAAAATTGGAGACGCACGTCTTGAAACCCAAATGGACATCAAACTGCTCTGACGGGTTCTTGCCAAAACTTAGGAACAGTGGTGTTTTCACCTCATCGCGCGTGCCTATAACCCTGACACACAAATGCGGTTGGAACTCATATAACCTCCATGTCATGCGGGACCCATCCAAGCGAGGGCTTCCCTTGAAACCTATTCAAGTAGAGAAAAACAAAAAAAACACAAACAAAAACCACTTGTGGCAGCGACGATTTTTCCCCCTTTGTTCTACCTACGAGAAGAGAAAGAGCCGAATCTGCTCCTGACTTTACTCCAAGCCGCTGATTTTGAAAATGCAACTCCCAGCTTCCTGGCGAATACGGACATGTGTTTTTTTGGCGAGTGTGCCGCTTTTGGTTTGTTCACAAGGGACAGCAAAGAGAAACCGCCCCTTGTGTTGTCGCCACGTTTTTTGGCGGCAAGGCGATTTTGAGCCCCCTCTTGGGTGTCTTGCCAAAACGAGGCAGCCCTTTTGGGATCGTCTTTGAAGGGAAGCAAAAGGGGGAACCAATCTGTAGACGTAGAGGTCCTGCATCTTTTGCAACCACTTTTAGGGTCCCAACCAAACTTAGATGGATGTTCTTCACAGGTTTGGGCTATACATGGACCAAACAAGTTGGACTGTGACAGTTCATTGGGAGAGAAACTACAGGGCTCCTAAGAGGGGATCCCCCAATTCAGCTCGAAAAGGTGCTGTCAGTTCAGACCCTGACCACTTCCCCCCGCTTCCGGCCGGGAAGTGATCCAAGTCCGGCGAGCTGGTGTTGACCTGGCTGAAGTGGTGACGCCCCGTACCTCGCTTCGAGGCTCCGTCGCCGTTGCAAAGTAAGCAACTCATTTCCCTTGTCCAAATCCCTAAGCGTCTCTGCCAAAGTAAAGGGGTCTCTGGACTATGGCACACGTGAGGGTCAAGACATGCTCACAAATGGCTTCTACTTCCCCCAAACCACAACCGCCAGGGCAAAAGGTGTACATGGGGTTTTTGTTGGGATACACGGATACACATACACATCTTTCCCCTGCAGATGGCTCGAGGGAATTGGAAACCATGTTAGAAAGCTACTCCCCAATGAACTCGGGATCCTGTGTCCTGAGCCCCAAATGATCATATGGAAACATGCTCCACCGAACCTCAGGTTGATGTTCACCGTGGTTCGCCATGTTTCTGGTATGAAGCTTCCAATCGTCGCTGTCACCCTCTTTCCAACCAATCGTGGAAGTGAACAGGCCGCTTTAAGAGGATTGTCGGCCAGCACCTCCTTGTAAGCTTCCACGGTCGAAACACGAACACCTGACTATCAACCTTCCAATGCTTACTCGCCTGCAAACTAACGTGGAACCCAGACAAGGGGGTCCTAGAAGGATATTCCTCTCAAAAGGCATGCAGGAGAGTACCTTGCAACCAAAACATCGCCTGAGGAGTCATCCATGAACTTGTGCTGACCGTCCGGTGCCACGTAGAGAACAGGCACCACGGGATACATGCCTTGGCGACTGGGCGACTCGGCACGGGCTCGGCAGGTGGGCAAAACCCTTCAGCCCTCCCCCAACACCCCCCCAATTTCCAAAAGGAAAACACACACCAAAAGCACCCCTCCTTGTTGACCGGTGTCTCCTCTCGCGAAGGAGGGGCGGCAAGCCAGGGAAGAAATGTAGCTTCCACTAAGCGCAAACCCGGATAGAAATGACGGGCTGGGTTCCGTTCCACTTTTTGATTGGTTCAAGGTAGACTTAAGCCCAGAACCGCCTCCAACTCGGCCCTGAAATCAACAAATGGAACCGGTGGGTGGATTCACCTGTTCAAACCCTGTGAACAAGAGCAAATCCCAACGGGGATGAGAACGGTTGCCAACGTCAAGCGCAGCTTCGCGCCGAGTTGTCCGGGCTGAAGAGGTGAAAGCGCTTCCGCCCACGGACCATCAGGTACCTCACGAGGTTCAGCCGGAGGGAAGCGACGCGATCCGGGAATGAAACGTAATGAAACCAGGTAGCAAACCCACCTAGACAACTGACCAGTCGGGTTAGGCGCTGCTCACATGGAATATCATCTGGCAGGCAAGTAAAAACTCAACATGGATGAGACTCGCTTTCAACTTCGGAAAAAGGGGTGGTGTGGCCTCGCCAAATTACTGTTAGACATGGGGGGGTCAAATGGGCAAAAGAAACACATAGTTGGGGGGCACAATGAGTACTGACAATGGCTCACATATGCGCATACACATGAACCGCATCATGAACCTGTTCACAAAGCGCATTGCAAAGCAGGCCAAACAGCATGCACATGCAGGAACCCGCAAGACAAGGTTGATTTCCCTGTCGTTGTCCTTTCAAAGGCATCCAAAGAGAGGGTTCCCGATCGAAGGCTACCACAAAAGTGGGCGCCGTTGGGGACGCTCCTTAGCTTCCTGAAGGCTTGAAGCATCCCCATGTAAGGTGCTCTATGTTCAACCAAAAACAGGGAGGTCAACAGGTAAATATGAGGGATGAGTGTCAACCAAAATCCGCAAAGACCCTTTGGTGCTAGAGAAACACATATGCCCAGGAATACGTAGGGCCATAGGCTTGTTTCCCGTCTGCCCTTTCAAAACCATACAAAAGCGTGCTTGAAACAGAAGGATAGGGTCAATCGGGCCGCAGTGGGTCATGGTGCTGGTGCCCTAAAATCATATGTGGGGGAGGGAGCCGACGTGTTGTGACCATAAGCCGCGCGGCAGATTGTCGAAGAACTCGTCCACGTGCAGCTGGGACTTCTGGGGGCTTCCGCCCGGGGCCGCCTCGCCGATCCACACGTTCACCGCCTCACGCGAGAGAAAGGCTTCAAGCGCTTGGGTCGGCTTATGTTGGAGGGGCACCCAACGCAAACGCGCTTTTGTTTGGCTCACTTTGAAGGGCCACGTGTGTTTGGCTGAGTTTCAAGGAAACCCACCTGAACAACACGGTTGAATCCCAAAGGCCGCCCATTCTCAGTTGGCTGACATGAACTTTGGTGGACCGTTCCCCAATGGACACATTATGACCAGACATTCTGGCTATGAAGGGAAACCAAGAAACGCTGGTTTTGAAGGCAAACCCACCCTAAACAAGCGGGACGCTTATGCTAACGGGAGATGCAACCTGAAACGGAACAAAAATGAACAAGACTGAAGTTAAACACAAACCAACCCACACACACACACACACACACGCACCATTGCAGAGGTTGTATGCCTCTGACAGCTGCACCAAGGTCAACCTATCCTTCTGTGAGTTATTGTGAGATGAACCCTCATTGACCTACTCAAACTACAAGCAACCCACGAAATAGACACGTGATGAAGTGAACGAAAAAGCACATAGACAAACCGGCAATTGACAAATATACTCATATCTGTCTCTATGTGTATACGTAAACGTATACACATACACTTTGCATTGATTCCACAACTTGAAATAGGGAATCCCCCAAGTAACTTCAAGGACCTATATTATATATCATGGTGAGTTTGCTCTACTCCCAGGTCAGATGAGCGCAGCATATATATATATATTAATATATCTATATGTGTATATGACATATCTATACATATCGCCCATCCTAGAGGCCGATTTGCCATAACACCGGCGCCTCCAGCCTTTTCGATAGGAAGGCTGGTTGGGGGATGTCATGCCGCAGCTGCCAAGACGGGACGCTGCAGTAGGGGCAGTCCGCATGGCCCGAAGGGTTCACGTACCTCGGGGAACGCCACCGCCCACTGCGATGGTAGGTTCCATCTTTTTGCGCAAACAAGGGGGCTCCTGCAACCTGCTTCACCCTAATCCTTTCCCGCGTTGGTTCAACGAAATCAATGGGGACCTATCTATTCAGGGATCAATTCAGAGACAAACCCCTATGATTGTTGGCTTCTTGCAAAAAATAGCCTGGACCCAGTGTGCCACCGGGGTTTCCTCATTCTTTGCCAGACTCAAGACCCCTTGCAAAACTTTTTATGTGGACGTGTGAAGGGCACAACTGGACGAAAAACAACCAAAGCAGAAAAACAGTCAGGCGAGCTAAGAATCAACCCGCCCGGCAGAAAAAGAGCCGCCCCGACCAAACCCCATTGGTGTAGGCCCTTTTTCGACCTTTTCCATGGAGCCACCTGGGAAAGCAGAACTCCCAGGCGCAGCCGGTCGCAGCAATCGTCCAGGGCACAGCCGCTCCCCGCTGCGATTGCACACGGAGAACTCGGCGGAGAACTCGCCGGAGAACTCGCCGAAGGCCCGGCGCACCAAAGCGGCGAAGGGCAGCGCCACCTTGGGCCCGACCCAACTTTCGAGAAAACCACGGGCGATTTTAGAGTGAACCTCCTCCCTTTCCTTGGTTATTTGTACTCCATGAGCTTCAGAGTCTGCCAGACGCCGTTTTTGTGGGTGCAAAGAGAAACTTATGAAGGACGAGTGTCCTGCTTCTTCGTTAGTGGCCCCCCGTTGAGCTTTTTCCTATTCCCCAAGTGAGCGCTTTTTTACCTCCATCTTACCTTCTCGGTTGGACATCACGATCGGCTTCAAAATAACCCCCTGTCTAAAAGGGCGACTGAAGCAATAGTCAAACCATTTCTGTGAGGTGTTCCACCTGGATTCTGTGAGCAACTGAGTACGACTTTGGCAACCCACCCCAAAAACCGATGGCAATCTGCCTGCACGAGCCATGAGCAAAACAGAAGCCTGCATGGTCATGACTCCCTCAAAACTCACTCAAACAACTACGCTTGGGTGCAAGTAGATGGAGTTCAATTCCCAGTGCTGGTTTGTTCTTCCCCTTTACTTATCCACATCTACCAGAAATTGTGCAAAGTTGTTCTGGTTCCTTGAGCATAGCAACTTACCGGTTGACATGGATTCCGAAAAAAGGAACCCTCCAAACCAAAATCGCAGCCCGCTGGAATCTTGGCGCGCCACCAATCGGTCGAAGTTGGGTGGATCACCTGGGCGCACGCACAGGGCCTGCACCCAGGCACCTTTGAGGCGCGACGCAAAGGAAGCGTCCTGCCAGCTCTGCACCTGCCAGAGTAAGTGGACTTGGTACCCTCAGGTTGGCTTGAAGGAGAAAAGGGACTTTTTTATGGGGGATTGTCACAAAAGGAGGATTCAGCCCCTTTTTGTTTGCCGGGTTTGGGGTTTCGAGTTCATCTGCGTTCGGCCGTCCTTGTGGCAAACACGAAGCACCAAGTGGAAATGGACCAGGGGAAAGGGCTCACACCTCTCAAGGCCCGAAATTGCGGGGGTTCGTTTTCAAACCAAATTAGATGATCATAGGAGCATGTTGATTCGTTGATCATGGTGCCAACACTTCGACCCTTGTGGTTTGGTGGTTTTGAGGTTCGGAGTCCTGAGTGAGTCTTGTCCTTCCACTTTCGACTTTCGACTCGCCTTCAGTGCGGATCCCCACCGCTCTTCGCAGCGAGTGAACACCGCGGGCTTCCGCGCTTTCGCCAGTTCCGCGAACTCCTCGGGGCGAGCAACGTCAGACGCCTCTGGTGCCTGGCGAGGGTTCCCGACATGTCCCTTGTGAACATCGCAAAGGTAACGTCTCTAAAACCGAACAAAACTCAAACCCTTGGGACATTTGTATGCGCGCGAGGCTTGGGAAGTGTTGTTCGTCTGTGCTGTGTCCCTCCCAAATGGACCATAGACACTGATATTATGACCGAACCACATATTTCTGGACATCATCCCAAAAGGGAAGCCTAAGATTGATGACGGGACCTCAAAGAACTCACATTGCGCTTGCCAGCTGTTTGCAAGGAACCCTAACTGGCGAGTGACTTAGTGACTTGGACCCCCTCCTTGGAATTGGGGCACCGCTGCCGCGGCACTTGCCACGCCTCCGGCGGTTTGAAGCCCCGGTACTCCACTTGCGGCGTGGGGGCAGAAGTAGCCATGGCCCAGAGCGCCTGAAGCGCGTCCCAGTTGCTACCCTGGGGACCTTCAAGGTCTTACGGTGGAAACCCGCTTAGTTTCCCGATCACGGATTGGCACAATCACTTTCTGCTGGTGGGCTTTACCTTTCAAGGTTTGGTTCTGCCAGGGTCCCATCTTCTTTGCTGCACCCAAAAGGAAAACCCAGGGTGGTCGCCTTTGGGTAACCAAAAACAGCAGCTAGAACAATCTTAAAGTTGGCAAAAGGTGAGATCTGAAACAAGCAAAGAGGGACATGTGGGCAAAGTAAGGCCAAATAAGACCAGGTCTTGGTTTCTCGCTCCAGCAAAACAGGTTTTGCTTCAGGTCGCAAGGGGCAAGTCGAATGATGGAACATCATATCAGCGCTTTGGATCGCCCGCCTCCCTTAACAAACCAACACCGCCCTCCACCTACGCGCAGACATCAGAAACACGCAGATGAGGCTAACTAAATGGGTTCCTTCAATCTACTCACAAAGAATGTAGTACCAAACTCGGGCTTGTAGACGTGCGTTTGAAGATTGAAGGTACGCTGACCCAAAAGAACAAAACGGTGAAACTGGAAACACTGTCCGTGCCGATGTGAGATCCCCACGGCTGGAAATGAGCCTCGGACCCCCCTGGCTTGAACTGTAAAGGCACCCCCGTGTTCCAACCAAACTCAAAGATGGCTTCCACTGCATCAGACATATACTCTTCAGTGGCTAGCTTGTCCAATCACTTCATGGTAGGGGAAACTGGGAATGTGTCAACAGAGGGAGACCTTTGGTTTGCTTTGAACCAACCTGAAACCGCATGCCCAGCTATGTTTCAATAGGGAAGCACCAATAAGAGACATGATCAAAGGCGACACTAACCATGTTTCAACGGGGAAGCATCAATGGCTGGAAGACATGAATCAACAGGCCACCCACTTGTGCCATAGGCCATAGGCGTCACTCGGCCTCCGGCCTCCGGCACCGGCAGGTTGGCCTTTGCCAGGTACTCCTTCAGCTGATAGCCCAGCGCCCAGCGGGCTCCATCCCTCTGGCGGCTCAGCAGCTTCTCCAGCACCTAAAATGAAAAACACACACAAGAAAACTCTGAATAGGATGTCTATGTTTTTCTCAAAACTCCCAGCGCTTCCAGATATCATGGTAGGCAACCAAGGGCAACAATGGTTGTCTTGCCAATCTCCCAAAGAGGCGAAAGCCCTTTCGGCCGGGAGATGTCTTGTAGTCCTACTCTTCTCTAGGCTTAAACCCCACTTTTTATGGAGATGCAAGCTAAAATCCGCTAAAACGGGTGTGTAGTCCTTCCGTAGCCCAAAAAGGGTGTGTTGCCGTCCTCCGCGTGTTTCGGGCTCGTGCCTTGGCCCCGGCGGCCCAGCGCCCTGCGGCGCCCTCCGCCACGGCCAGCGCCAGCGCCAGCCGGGGCTTCTCGGGCCTCGACGCGCGGCGGAAGGCCTCCTGCGCGAGGTCCGGGAGCCGCGAGTCGAGCCGTCGAGTCGGGGACTTCCGTTCCATGGAGAAAATGGAGAAAGAGGTTGGGACAAAATCCAAATCGGTCAGCCAGAGAACATACGATTCAATCCACTAAAATGGACTATGGGTGGTGCACCGAAAGCCCCAAAATGGTACCATTGGTTTTGACCCTCAGCCATTTGGCGAAACTCGGTTGCTTTCTGCTCCCCTGCTCAAAGTTGAGAACTTTTGGCGGTTTAATGCGGAAAACCCACAATGTGGGAAAAAATTGAAGTCCCAACATCCAAGCAAAATGCACCAAAGTAAAGAGATCTGGGAGAGCTGTGGAGTGCTCCTATTCGAGTGGGACCATCCACTTCTCTCCACCAAAGTCCATGTTGTGGTGGGGCATGTCCTTGTCATGGTCACCCCAAAACCCTTCCTTCTGCAATTTCCTCTCCCAAACTCTTCGGGTTTGTCTCTTTACTCACTCGAGTGTTGGCGTGTCCTTGTAATGCCGCACTGCCAGGTCCCAGTTCTGCAAGTAGAGATTCCTCGGTTCCCCTATAAGCCGTCCAGCAGTTTGCTCCCATCGCTGAAACCGCGATTTTCCACAAGGTGACAAACTCACAGACTGAAGGCCCGCCATCGCCAAGCTCCGGGAGCCATGTGTCCAAGAGGTCAACAGGTCAAAGGCCGTGCCAAAAGGTTGGAAGGTTGAAGATTGAGTGCCGCAAGGCTCATGATCGAAAGGTTCAGAGGTGCGAAGCTGCACCAAAGACAGGGTTCCTGAAAGGACACATCCCAAAGCCGCCTGCTTTGCAAGGCCTTGAATCCGGATTTGACTCCTCTGGGTCCTGTCATCCTTAGGGTCCCTGCTCATTTGCCCGTACCTGACCCAAGATTCTGCTGCGCTAGGGCCTCAAGCAGGTTGTGATCCTCCGGCGCTTCCTTGCGAGAAGCGAGCGACGCGGACCATCAACCCGAAGTTGATATGGCCTCAAAATGATCATCTAAAATGCAAAGGGAGCAACCCTGCTTTCCGTTGAGCCACACCAACAGCAATATGCTAGACTCTGGTCATACTTTAGCGAGGCTTACAATACAAAATGAGTGTGTACTTTTTTCCCCAAACAGCGAAGCATTGGGGTTCTAACTTGAGGTATAGAGAATGGGAAAGTGTGACGCCGGTTCCGGGGTCCTGTTTTCCGCTTGTCTTCCTGTCTCCCAGTCTCTCCGGTCAGATGCCAGATGCTGTAACGCTGACGCAGGGTCGTGTCTCTCGCTGTCTCCCTGTGTGTCTCGTGTTTCCTGCTTGTCTCCCTGTGTCTCCCAGTCTCTGCGGTCAGCGCCAGAGCTGTGACGCTGGCTCCGGGGTCGTGTCTCCCGCTTGTCTTCCTATGTCTCGCAGTCTCTGCGGCTCCGGGGTCGTGTCTCCTGCTTGTCTCCCTGTGTCTCCCTCAGCTTCTGCGGTCAGAGGCCAGATGCTGTGACGCCGGCTCCGGGGTCGTCTCCCGCTTTTCTTTCTGTGTCTCCCAGTCTCGTCTCCCTGTGTCTTCCAGTCTCTGCGGATGACTGCGGGGTCGTGTCTCCCGCTTGTCTCTGTGTGTCTGTGATGCTAGATGCTGTGAAGCTGGCTCCGGCGTCGTCTTGTCGCTGTCTCCCAGTCTCTACGGTCGGATGCCAGATGCTGTGACGCTGGCTCGGGGGTGTGTCTCCCGCTTGTCTCCCTGTGTCTGGATGCCAGATGCTGTGACGCTGGCTCTGGGGTCGTGTCTCGCGCTTTTTTTCTGTGTCCCATCTCCCGCTTGTCTCCCTGTGCTCCCAGTCTCTGCGCTTGTGCCAGATTGTCTCCCAGTCTCGTCTCCCTGTGTCTCCCAGTCTCTGCGGTCAGATGCCAGATGCTGTGACGCTGGCTCCGGAGCTTGTCTCCCTGTCTCGCAGTCTCTGCGCTGCTGTGACGCTCCCAAGTTACCTTGCCTTGTTGAGCTAAGATGTCCTCGGTCACTTGCGCCCGTTGGCCCCCGTAAAGCCGTGAAAACTCGGCCGAACGGCCGTGATAACTTGTGCGGGAAACTGAAAGGCCGTTACTACTCCGTGAAAAAGCCGTGAAAATTTCACGCTCTGAGCTATCTTGTCCTCACGACACCAAAAACCTTCTTAGCCCATACGGCCTAAGCAACTCGCGAATCGGAGACTGGTCAGAGGCAAGATGCTGTGACGCCGTGCCGGATGCCAGTCTTGTCAGTCTTTGCGGTCGGATGCCAGATGCTGTGACGCTGGATGCCAGATGCTGTGACGCTGGCTCCGGGGTGTCTTTGTCGCTTGTCTCCCAGTCTCTGCGGTCGGATGCCAGATGCTGTGACGCTGGCTCCGGGGTCGTGTCTTGCGCTTGTTTTCCTGATGCTGTGACGCTGGCTCCCCGCTTGTCTCCCCCTGTTCCCTGTGTCCCAGTCTCTGCGGTCAGATGCCAAATGCTGTGACGCCGCCAGCTCTGGGGTCGTGTCTCCCGCTTGTCTCCCGTGCTCCCAGTCTCGTCTCCCTGTGTCTCCCAGTCTCTGCGGTCGGATGCCAGATGCTGTGACGCTGGGTACGGGGTCTCCCGCTTGTTTCTCTGTGTCTGGATGTCAGAGGCTCCGTGTCTCCCGCTTGTCGCTTGTCTGTGTGGCTCGTCTCCCGCTGTCTCCCTGTGTCTCCCAGTCTCTGCGGTCGGATGCCAGATGCTGTGACGCCAGCTGCGGGGTCGTGTTCCTGAGTCTCCCACCCTTTGCGGTCAGATGCCAGATGCTGTGACGCTGGCTCCAGGGTCGTCTCCCGCTTCTCTCCGTGTGTCTCCCGGCAAAAGCGACTGAAGCTGCTTCTTCTTTGCGAGTTTTGGGGCTGACCTTGCTTGCTGCCAGCTGGCCGTTTTTTAATGCTTACAGCCCTCAACGGGAAAAATGAAGGTCCCGGGCCCCGGGCAAAACCAACTGAAGCTGCTTCTTCTTTGCGAGTTTTTGGGGCTGACCTTGCTTGCTGCCAGCTGGCTGTTTTCCTGCTTACAGCCCTCAACAGGAAAAATGAAGGTCCCGGGCACCTACCCAGTTTTGAGGCTGACCTGTTCGGCTCCCTTCGGCTCAAGTGGCAGCAGCGCGCAAGCGCAATTGAGAAGCATCAAAAACAGTCCAGCTAGAAACATAGATTCGAAGTCAGAAGGAAGGACTTGCAAAAATGTTTAGCAGTTGGGAAAGGGCATGTCGCAGATTTTGCTGTTAGCCTGTGTGCAAAGGATGTGCCTCTCTCTTGGTCAAGCGCAGGTTTGCGTCCTTGTGGAGCATCGTTGGAGCTAGAAGCAAGCAATGTCGAGCCTTAAATATGTTTATTTTTCTCGATAAACAAATCATGACATTCGGCTGATTGCTTTGCTCAGGAAACTGAGCTGCTTTTTAGAAGCCAGTGCCACACTTTTTGGCCAAGTGCAGGTTTGCATCCTTGTGGCGCATCAGCAGAGCCCTGTCGAGCATTAAATATGTAGACTGCTTTCGATAGACAGATACCGTGACATCCGGCTGACACTGAGCTGCTTTTGGAAGCCTTCTTGGTCAACTGCAGGTTTGCATCCTTGTGGCGCATCAGCAGAGCCCTCCATTTTGTTTTATAAACAAATATACCGTGACATCCGCCTGATTGCTTGGCTCAGGAATCTGAGCTGCTTTTTGGAAGCCAGTGCCGCACTTCTTGGCCAACTGCAGGTTTGCATCCTTGTGGCACAACCCTGTCGAGCCTTTAATGTGTCTGTTTTCTCGATAAACAAATATACTGGGACATCTGGCTGATTGCTTTGCTCAGGATACTGAGCTGCTTTTTGGAAGCCAGCGCCGCGCTTCTTGGCCAAGTACAGGTTTGCATCGACAGCGGAGAAAAATACTTAGCGCTGGTGTAAAAAGCGGTTTCTTGACATGTTTTCCTGTTCGAGTGCTGGCCATGAATGCAGGTGCGCAGGTGGACAAGTGGCAGACATTGAGGCTTTCGGGGCTAAACACAAAGCATTTAGCTTGGACTTTTGCAGCGCTGTGATGATGAGGGTGGATGAGGAGGATTCTGTTGATTCTGTGGCTGATGAAGGTGGTGACGATGATGATGATGATGATGATGGTGATGAGGGTCAGGATGACGAGGATGAGGAGGATGATGAGAAGAAGGGTGATGATGAGTGCCACAGAGAAGTCGACGGTTTCGTTGACAGTTTTGCTCCGAGTCAACAAACCCTTGGAATGGAGAAGGGGCACGGCTCCACTAAGCATTTTACCAGCGAAGCAACTAGAGGGCTTGCGCGGGTCAGCCACCATCTTAGCCAAAATCGTATGAAGCGGGGGGAGGGGGGCTCTAGGCGACTGATGATGCTAGGGATGCAGGAGCGCTGCAGAAAAGACCTCCAGCGGATGACACCAGCAAGTTGCGCAAGCAAGTTGCGTTAGCAAGTAGCACTAGCGAGCTGCACTAGCAAAATGCCACTAGCCAGTAGCACGAGCAAGATAGCGCTAGCGAGATGCACGAGCCACTCGTTGCCTCCTGATTAGACGTCGTAAGGTGCCGTTATCATTCTCTGAGGCGCTCGCTTCCCTACAGTCTCTGGACCCATGGAACACCAAAGGGGTTCAACGTGAGCTGTATTGCATGGCGCTTGTGCTAGCCTCCCGCGTTCTCGCAATCAACGTTCTTTTCCGAGATCTTGACTTGAGTTTGGCAGCTCTGGGCGAGATTCTGATTTACTTGCTCGCAGCATACGTGGCTTGTCGGGAAACCAAGCTGGAGGGATGTGCTGATAGCATCAAGACCATCACTCACCGAAGCAACACGCGCTAAAGACATGGCCCATCCATTTCTTCTTTGACGACACAGCTTCGCCTCCACTACGCCTGGAACATCGATTCCGACCCGTTCTCGCAAAAGGTTTCGGTGCTGCTGGACACCCTGCGTGCGTGGCGAACTCCCCAGCAACATTACGGAATTGCGGCTCTGGTGCTCAATGTGCTAATTGCAACACACGGTCATGGCCATGTTTCGACACATTTTCGGTGGCTGTATAATCTAATAAGAGTTGCTAACGCCGCAGTCTGCAAGTTTATGCAAGTTCTCTCTTGCTTTGCTTGTGGCAAGACCTTTAGCCGAGCTCGAGAAGAAGATAGCAACCAGAAGTGGCATGTGCCCAGTCTCGGCCGCAAGCTGCTGAGACTGATGCGCAAGTTTCAGCAGAGTAGCGAGACGGCCACCAAATGCTGCGGTGATGGAACTTGCATTGAGTGTCCGTACTACGGAAGTTCCTGCGAAACTTCCTTTGAATAATGCCAGGTGTTAGGTTGATTCACCCCGAATCCATGGGGCCTTCACTCTCGAACATGGCATTGACATGGCATTTTCCAACATCGATGCTTTTACCCGGCGGCAAGGAGATGGATTGTAACTATGTGTTGCTCACATAATCTACTCAATTTCGCACCTTACATGAAGGAGACAAGCCTTTTTTGGGTTATACAGACCTGTCATGCTGTTTTGCTGTTTGGGGTCGAGGCTGGTGTAATTAGAGATGGTACCTACCATTTTCAGGTTGGTTTAAGCGGACGTCAAAGGGAACACCCACCCATTTTGGGAGTCCCGATTTGGGCACATACACACATGAATATCCTGCATTTGCCCAAGCTGCCTTTTTCACATGTCCCCCATGGGTTTTTTTGAGGAAAGTGGTCACGCCATTGTTGACATAGGTGCGGAAAATGGGCACCTTTCTGCGAGTGGTTGATCTTCCCCATGACTAGTTGATCGCTTTCTTGCAATGTGCATGCGTATCGCAGGAACACATTAAACCCACTTACCAGCATGGTGGAACACAAATACCGGAAAACAACAACAACACAAATCCCCTTGGTATCATAGAAAGCCGCCCAACTATATCCCAAAGAGATAGCCACTCCTGCACCAGGTACTCCAGGTGGGGTATTGCCAGGTCCGGCCTTGCCTCCTGCGGTTGGTTTAGCCTTGAAGAACCAAACCTTGACCCACTTCAAAATTGATGCCAGAAGGTTGTTTATATAAACAGTAGGTGGTCAGGGCAAAACAAGGGTCAACTCTAAGGGGAAGACTTGTTGAAAACGTAAAGATGTTGTTAAAGGGACACCATCTCAGTAGATGGTTGAAACAAGGGGTCTCAAACCAGCCAACCCTTGTATGCCCTGCTCCTCCGACCGGCTCTGCGCCAGCGCCGCCCGCACCGCCGCCACATCGTCCCTTTGCGCCGCAGCGGAGGTGACCGAAAGCGCGGCCTCGCACTGGGCGCTCACGTGGGGCCAGTCCGGGCGGGCGCCAACCAGGGCCTGGCATCCCGAGGTTGAGGACCCGGTTTGGCCCACCCCCAATTTCACCTGTTGGCTTCGCCCCAAAAAGCACCAGTCAAAAGGTTGCAGAAAGCAGGTCCTGGCCAACCTCCAGTGACCATTTTGGGAAGTGCGCTTGCACCGAGGTCACTGGTGGTCACTAATAGTCATTGATAGTCACCAGTCACATGAGTTTCGGATGCAATAGCTCCTCTATGGTTCTTAATGAGAATATGATACAAGCACATTTGCCAATGGTAAATGGGAAGGGGTCCGGAATTCTCAGAAGTGCCAATTGGATTTGCAAGGTTCAATTTGGTGGGAGGAACTTTGCAAGAGGGAGGGCTGGGTTTGGAGCCGCTCGCCTTTTAAATTGGACAAGCCCAGTCGTTCGAAAGTACCCTGCACTTCCATGTTTGTGGGGCCCAGAAGGAACCGCAGTGCTCCCTTCTAACATGAAAGCTGACTGGAAAAGATCAAGGCAACCATCCTCTGTCTTGAGCAATAATTGAACCAAACGCGTCTAATTCCAGGAATCTTAAGTATCATTTCCGGGGATCCGACATCTGGGCCTCCACCCGGTCTCTTCTTTCTGGTGTTTTTGGGCTACCCGACAATCTGATCCACTCCCGTTCCGTGCCCACCTCCGCCTCCTGGAATGCATCGATGCACGCCGACCTCGGGAAGCGAGGTCAAAGCAGCGCGCTGAGGAATGAGGCGAGACAGCGCGCTGATTTGCAGGCCAGGCACCACGGATCCTTAGGGCGTGTTGGCATCTCTCAAACTTAGGGGACCCCAAAAATTGGTGGGGTGTCTTTTTGGTTGTCTCACGAAACAACATGAGACAACCGCTGAGATAGCCTTTCCTGAAAATAAAACGGGGCCCCCTGTGCACAGGTTCAAAAGGGACCCCAGTTTGGTCATGCTCATGTTGGCACACTCCGCAAGTCGGCTCGCAGTCACACCCCGAAGGTGATTGTTTTTTCAAACCCACTTTTGGTTGGCTTCAAATGGAAACCACACATCTTGGGTTGCCCGCATTCCGCGCCCGGAGAAATATTCCGACTCCTTCCGGCTTCACCCGCCCAGAGCCTCTTGCCGTTCTTGCAGCCGAGCATCCGAAGCTCCGGCTCCGGCTGCCAGGGCGAAGCGCCACATGGGACATGAGACACGAGATGTCAGCTGAGAAATTCCTGCCACTTGAAGACAACGCCTTTGGTTGTACCAAATGCTAATGGCTTTTTCTCTTTGGCCAAACCAAGAAACACATCACACCCGACTGTGAGTGGGGAATACGCCCCGGATGTAGGTGCAAAAGCTCACACTCTTGGGGCTGGGCTTAGTTTAGGTTTAGGGTGACAACCCTGAAAGTGAGTTGGGATGGAGTGTGACCAGCCTCGTCAAATCCGCCACAAGCCAGGACTGGAGTTTCTTCATCTAGGATAAAGGTGAACACATCAACGTGACCTGAAAAACCTCTAGATAAATTTCCCTAGCGTCGAGTGATCCCCATGTTGGGTTCCATGCTGATTTGCAGGGCAGTCGCCATGTTGGAGCTTGCGCATGTCACGTTTGAACTGTTCAACTTGCCTAGCGCGGGCCATAAGGCCACCGAGCCCACATGAAGTGCGCCTCTAGTTAAAGGGGCAAGCTCTTCTGCCAGGCGAGCCTGCGAGAACTTTCCCAGAAACCGTGACTGTCCACTTGCATGTTTGCAACATTGGGAGATTCTGGCCCGGGCTTCATTCGGGCCCGGGCTCCTTCCAGGTGTTTGGCGACAAAATGATGGCCCCCTTTCTGGGACCGCCCAAGGCAAGTGACACCCTTGGGCCCGAACAAAGGTGGCGACAATCTTTTTGACCCCCCCCCCAAAGCCAAACAAGTTGGGCTTACTGATGAATAAGGCCTGATGACAATTTTTGCCACCCGCGCAACACACTAAAACCAAACAAAAAAGTGATGGGATTTACCCCTCCTCCAAACACAAACAATTGGAGGATTCTACCACCCCCCTGCCAACAAAATAAACACAACCATCCCAACACACTGCAATTTGTTAACTCCCAAAAGAAAAACCACAGGAATGCACCAACCAATCAAATGCACAACACAAAACACCTGTTTTATCCCATGGCCCGCTATCGATGCTTGGCTCAGGCTCCAGCGAAACTGTTTGATCTGCTCACACCCGCCATTTTAAGGCTCGGCCAACATAGGAACATAGGGGACCTTTGGCATTCCTGTGCGGAATCAAGCTGACAAGCAACGGGCATCGAATTGAGGATGAATCCGATGTTGGCAATGCCCAAACAAACCCCGAGCCGCCAGCCCCTTCCCCGCGGTGGACACTTGGGAACCAGCATGTTCCACCTCCAAACCGGCCGAACCACCAGGTTTTGGCTGATAGCCCCTTGCATGGGATACCGGCCAAACCAGGCAAGCTGATGGCGCCCTCTGCTTCTTCTTTTTTTCGCTGCGAAGGGGCTGGCCACGGTGGGATCCGCAGCCTCGATGGCCTGGAAGGCGGCGAGGCACACGGCGCCCAGCGCCACCTGCAGCGCGTAGAGGCCTACGGCGCCGAGATCGAAGAGACGACCCTGGTCGACCATCCCACATTCGGGATGGGAGCCCACGCTTTGTGTGTTCAAAGGAAAAAAACGAAAACATAGTTGAGGATATGCTTGGGGTTTTGCTTTATATGGTGTGGGCCTTGTGGCTGAGTTGACCTTAGCCAGGGGGTTTTGAAAACTCAGCAATGAAGACAACCATTTTTTGCAGGGCCCCCTTCTCTTTGTGTGGTGTTTCAAGGGAAAACAATTTTTGGGGTCAGCAAATCCAAGGTTTCACTCGGAAGGACACCTCCAATCTTGTGAGAAGGTTCGGGACCATCAATTTCAAGAATGCTGCCACTTCAAGCTGGGGTGTTCAAAATCATTTCGAAAGCCGGGCGTAGAGGGACACCACCGCCTGGTACGAGGAGTTTGCAGAGTGATTTTGAAACCAGTTAAGAGACCCAGTTGACCACCCCTGCATTCCCGGCCCAAAAAGGCAGCATCAGATTTGTTGGCGAAAAAGGTCGTGTTTTGTGCGTCCAAATTGGCTCTCAAAGAGCCCTGGGATGCTTTGGCTTCCATCCGAGTGGCGCAGCACCATTGGCCAGCCGCCCCGTTGCAGCAGACGTGGCACCTGTGAGTAGATGAACATGGCCAGCAGGTTGCCTGGATCGATCTCAAGAAAAGCCAGAGTGCCCCGCGCATGCGAAACACAGCTGGAACCTTCGAGATGGGCTTCCGTTTCGTGGCTTGCCTCAAACCAAAAAAGGGGAGTGCATTTGCGGCTTCCCTGTAAAACGATCGCAACGGTGGAAATCAAGCTTTGGACGCAAAAAACAGACCACTCATGTCAGGATGGAGCTGTCTGAAGCACCAACATCCTGCCTGGCACGTCGTGCAGACCTGCGAAAAGCCCCGCACGGGGCCCGCCCCACCTGCGAGCGGGCACGGCTATTCATGGGCATATTTTTGTCAGGGTACCCTCTTAAAGATTGGCTTTTCGGGGGTGATCAAAGGACAACAATTCTGGGCTCCCTATCTTGACACACTCATTTGTTGAGATCCCAACATGAAGACCCCATCCAGTGCCCAAGAAACAGCTCTGCAGTCTCCCTGACCAGAAAAAGAAGGTACCAACAACAGGCCCACACCCAGACTTTGAGCTCAGTGAGCCACCCGATTCACAAGTTGGTAAAGGGCTACCCAATAAAGAAACGCGCCGCACCCGATGCATTGGCCTCATGATCCAGTCCGGAGGGATGCAGGACAGCGCTGGGGCGGAGCCTGAGGAAATCAAGCGTGAGACAACTGCAGGCTTCATATGTATCGGGAGTCAATTCTCTGTTTCATCTTTATAGATAAATACATATTTATGTATATATATATATATGTGTTCATCCATCTATGTACTTGGGTTTGTCTCAAAATGGCCGGTCGAACCCCAAGAGGGGTGGTTTCCCAAACGCACATGCCAACATCTACAAACATGTGGGTCCTGCAAATTGGCTGCCCGCAAGTTGATGTCACATTGAGAGCCAGGGGTCGAGGACTTGGCCTCCTGAGACTTTTGGCGTGTCAGCTCCAAAACAGAAGTTACAAGAAAAGGGTATGACTGAGAACCGGCAACGTCTGTGTCTAGTGGGTCTTCGATACGAAGTTTCTTACATGTTCGCTTTGGACATCTCTCCGCGCAAAACTGCGAATGCAACCAACCCACAAACGAAAAGGGTGTAAGCATGTTCAGGTATATATCTTTATGCATTTTACCCTAGAGGGCCTCTGCGTGTACACAGGGAAAACAACCGCCTACTCTTCCATTTTGGAATCCTTTTTGGTAAATCACACCTTGGCTATTGATCGCACGGCCTACGGGAAACCAAATGAAGAGCAACACGCGGCCACCCTCGCATGAGTCGCCTCCGCCGATGGTGACCAAGGCGGGCATCAGCAAACTTCGTGCTGGCCGGCGAGACAACCTCGAAATTGGACAGGCTACCTCCACTTCCTGGGGGGGTGAATTTCAATAGGGCTCTATGGTGTACACCATTTAGGTGAGGATTGATGTCCACCAATCACTTATGAGGCAGTTCCCAATTAAAAATCACCTTGAAGCATTTCGACTTGTCAAAAAGGTGATGCTTCCAATTGCACAAAACGACATGTTTTGGGGCGGAAACCCCCAGGGAGCGGTTTGGGCCGGCCCCTGAAATCGAAGGAAAACACTTTTCTGCCCGGGGTTGGCCATCTTTGGGCTTGAGCCCGGCGATAATTTCACACATCGCCAAAGCAAACTCAAGTGGCTCCAGTTTTTGATCAGGCGACAGGACGCTGGTACCCAATTCCCCAATTCACAGATTGGCAAAGAAACCCAACTTACGTAGTCCAAACAGGTGATGTTCAAAACCAGGAAGCAAAAGGCACCCCGGAGGTCTGGGTGAAGCTTGTTCGTGGTTTGCGAGGTGGGGGCCATTCTGCTGTGCACAGACTTTGGAACTAAGTAAGGGAGGCGGGCTTCTTCGCCCAATGGGCGATTTGCTCAAATGGGAACTCGCTCAAATGGAAACGGCTTAAGGGTCGGTCGAGATTTAACTTAGGAGATTTTGTTTTATTTTGGGATTATTTTTGTTTTGCGTCTTGGCCTCAAAAAACAAACTCCGATCCAGGATTTTGAAGAGAAAAGAAAACGCAAGAAATGGCCCGGATAGCAGTTTTTACACTGAATAAGAAGGAAGTTGCGATATGGGCGTATTTTTGCGCTTTTTCGATCGAAAAGTACGTATTTTTCGGGCTCTCGTCAACATCGCCAGCTTGTCACACCAACATCCTCAGCATTACCAGCAGGTCGTGCACTAGCCCGTTAGCATCCTCAGCATCATTTTTAGCACCCTTCACTTGTCACACCAACATCCTAGCATCCCAGCAGCAGGTTGTAGCTCAGGGCAGGCTTCAGGCAGGCAACTTGTAGGGTCCAAGGCAACTCGAAGGAGATAATGGCTAGCTGCGGATGAGGTTGGCTGTTTTTGAGCTCGGGAGTTCTCTTGCAAGGCTAAGCATCTTTCAGGCATTTGGGTTTGTCTCCAAAATACTGATGTCTATGCACCTTTCTCTCTCCCACAACAAAGCCATCGAGTTATCATGCGACGCCTGCCTGGTGCTACCGTACGCCAAGACCTTTGGCAGCCCCCCCATGATGACGCGGGAGTGATGATTGAATTACTTGCCAAAAATCTAAAAAGTAGCGGGGGGAGTGATGATTGAATTAAGGGCAAGAAATCTAGAAAGTAGCGGGGGTTCGGGGGGGCGGCCCCGGTGATTGAATTAGGGGCAGAAAAGCTGGAAAGTCCCTCCCTTCGCACCGAACATGTACAAGTTCGGCCCCTGACGGCCGAGGTCGAAGGCGCTGGACTCGTGGCGCTCTGACCCCAAGACTCCTCACAAAATGAAAGGGGCAGCTTGCAGCCGTACTGGCCCACAAGCACTCTCTCAACCCCTAAGCCTTCCAAGGCCTTTTGGGCGATGCGCCAGTGTGTAATCCCTCGAACTGGATGTATTTTCCCACACGCTCAGATGGCTTTTCCGCCTCGGCTACTATACCTTGGTCTAGGGGGTGGTCTTGAGCCAAAACACCGGAAAATACGTGTAACCATAACACATGGTTGTCTTATGGAGGTCTTTATAGGGGTCTGCGTGGAGGTCTGTTGACAGTTTGCTTGCTTGTTTGCTTGTTTGGTTGTTTGCTTGCTTGTTTGTTAGTTTGTTTGCTTGCTTGCTTGCTTGCTTGTTGGTTTATTTGTTTGTTTGCTTGCTTGTTGGTTTGTTTGTTTGTTTGTTTGTTTGCTTGTTTGTGTGTTTGTGAGTTTGTGTGTTTGTTAGCTTGTTTGCTTGTATGCGTGCTTGCTTGTTTGCTTGTTTGTTTGTCTGTTTGTTTGTTTGCGTGTTCTTACACGTGCCAGTGTGTGTTGTGTTTTCACGTTGGGCCTGCTGTCGTGGAAGCAATATAGCATGACAACAACTCCAAACACAAGACACTATCAACAAACACACACACACACAACATAATGACAAACACATCAGGCAACGCATCATCCAGAAGAAGTTGCCCTGATCAGTAACCTGCAACAGTTTGGTTCTCTGTAGGAAAGCTCTTGTAATTTTATTCAGGGGTTCCTGAGTCCTTGCCTACCACCAAATCATGGCCCACCTGAGCCCATGCTGACACACAACAAGCCAACAGGTAGAGAAACACACCTCCCCCTTGCCCCCGCCCGCCTCGGCGTCGTCGAGGACGTCGTCGTCCGCCTCGTCGTCGCTTTCGCTGGCGCCAGCTCCATCCTGAACACCAGGCAGCCCCAGAGGAAGGCTGAGGCAAAATATTAAATCAATTTACTATTGAACCACCAGTCAACTCAAATTCAACTACTGTAGTCATGGCCCGGGTCGATTAACGCAAATTGATAGTAGTGATTTTTGCAAACTGGTAATTAAGGCAGGTAGTTGAGTCGCTTGGAAAATTAATCACCTAGTTTAGTCCTGAAACTAGAAGCTAGCAAGTTGCTGATTTACACATCTCCCATCCTATGTTCAATTCTAGAACTAGATGACTACCGTTCTATCTGGCTTCCCAACTACTGTTAGTAAGTGTAGCTTTGGAGCAAGCTAAGGCAGCGATTTTGCAATGTGAGCACCAGATCAACTAGGGAGACGGCAAATGCAAAAAACACAGCTACAGTTGATTAGCAGCAGTAGAGGCCATTCAACTCAGGACTTGGTTAGTTGGCAATCTAGCTGGTTGCCAAAGCCGTGTAACAGAATAAGGTGGCTGGCCCCTTGGGCGATTGGAGTTTGCCAGGTGAGTCAATCTTGCTAGATAGCTAGCTACTACTGGCTCCCAAGCTTGCCAAACAAGCATGTAATTGATGAACAGATTGTCCACTCAGCTGGTCAACTCAAGAAGCTGCTTGGTCAGGTAGTGAATGTAGCAGCAGGCGCACTTGAAGAGGGCTGGTTGGCACTCAAAGCATCAAATCAGTCAGCGTTGGCCAAATTAATTGAAATACGTTGCCATTTGGATGGGGTCAAGCAAGTAGCTGATGAACAAAGTACTTGCTTACATAAGTTGCACATCAGTGGCACATGAGTTGTCTTCTCAAGCAGCTACTTTGCCAAAATATGAACGCAGAAGCTGGCCCACCTGAAAAAAGCTAGACGGCCTGCAACTGGTACCTTCATCCGGTGTCACCACTACCACCTTTTGGGGTTGATGCTAGAGGGAAACTACTGGAAACCCCATATTAGTTCAACTAGTGGAGAAGCTTTGGGGTTCAGCAAAAAAAACAAAATCCAAGTTGATTCTGGTTTGCCCCACTCTTCCACACCACTGAGTGTCAGGGCGAAAGCCCGCTAGGCTCCCGAGCACCAAGGCGGTAGCGCGCGTCCGTGGAAGCCTGAGCCTCGGCAGCACAAAAGAAAAGGGCAAAACAAACAACAAGCACGCAAGACGGAACTACCCCCTGCACATGTTGGCCCTCCTTTGGAAAGAATTGTCTACAAACAGGGGCCGTGGCCATATTTAAGGGGCACCCCCTATCAGAGGGGGTTGTTCACAAAATGCATTGCCAAAGTCACGCCGTTGACACCCTCGGAGCCAAAAACTGAAGCAAGCAGAACGGCCCATTTCGTGTTTTTTAACGTACTCCTTCAAAGAGCCCCCGCTTGTGGGGCAACTTGTTGGTTTGGGGTTCTGATTGCGTCAACCTGTTTAAAACTGTGTCAACTTGTTTTTTGTTTTACCAACCTCCCATAAACTCGGGCTCCCTCATTTAAATGGTTGTTCGATGTCCTTTTCTGGCCAAATGGCCAAATTTGTCATCACCTTATTATGGGCGTTATTGTTTTTTGCCCCTTGCGAAAAGTGATGTTTTCTGCATGCATCAAGCCCTCCAGGGTCCTTTGAGCTGTTCTTCTGAAATAGGGAAAACCTGGTGCGCTCTGTTATCCAGGAAATTACTTACTGAGTTGGCTTCTTTCCTACAGTCTCAGAGGTCTTTGAGCCGTGCTTCTTAGGGTTCCTTTTGCAGGTGTTCTTCAAAAGCTGTGGCGTAGCAGTGTTTTAGTTAACATGGTTGGCCTAGTTGTGAACATGTTCAAGGCCCTGGCTATTTTCCAGCTGCGAACCTGGTGAACATCGCCAGGGCTTTGGCTTGGTCTGGGTTGTTTACAATGCCCTCCCAAAAGCACACATGGAACCCCAAAAAGGGGTCCCTGAAAAGGAGCTTCCTCTTCAAACAGGTAGTCTTCAGGTTCCATGTTTGTTTGTAGGAGTGTTATTGTTCAGCTATCTACACAACGGGCCCTGGCTATTTTTCAGTGGCACACCAGCCATGTTTAAGACATCCAATCTTCAGCGTTCTGAATCCCCACTGTCTGTCGGAAGAGGTTGGGGTGTTTCTCAAAAGGTAGGACCCCAAACAAGGGGCTGGTTTCCTGTAGGCTCCCTTCAAAACCCAACCAAGAGGAGGTACCCTATTTCAAGAAGCCTTCCTTGGTCAACAGGTTTCGCATTCTTCCACGGTTCGATACCACACCTCTGCGCTTGATTGGCTTTGTGGCTAGAGGGATACCACACCTCTGCTCCCACAACCGCCCCACGAGACCTGAATACTGGGAATCCGGGCCAGCATGCATTTGGTCGCGCCTGCCTGGTTGTGGCTTGTTGCGGCGCCCCCTTTTTTGGGAGGATTGAAAGGGAAGCCAAAAAACAACCCTTGAGGGGGAAGGAACTAGAAGGCCTGCTTAGTGTTGTCTGTTGTGCGGGTGAAAGAAAACAAAAGGAAAAAAGAGAAAACTGCCGGTGTGTTTTTTGGCGGCACCCAAGGAAAGCCAGAAGGAATCTCTTCCATTTCGAGAGACCACACTCATGTTGATGCCCGTCCTTTTCCCTGTTTTCCCTCAGGAAACGCAACCTGCTTTGTCCAGA